ACACACTTCCAGGAACCTATATGCAAAGAACGAAAAAAATTGTATGTTCCAAACATCCTCAATTTTCAATACAAAATCATAGAAAAAAGCAATTTAAAAATGAGCTTCAGCTTCACATTTCGGCAAATATCTCGGCAACGACGCTATAGATCAGCATGAGATAGCAATAGATCAATAGCTACAAATCTAAGGAACCCAATGGTGTCGAAAAACCCGCAGGTTTTTCAAAAATAAACCAGCTAAACAATGCCTATAGTGAACATAGGTCACAACTTTTAATGAGTTGCCAGCCGATCTGACTACTGTAGCTCTCATCCTACCAAGAAAAAATTTTCGCACCAAATTGGAAATGAAACGGACTACATATAGATAGATAGATAGATAGATAGATAGCTGCATCATTACAACTCATGTCAAGATGAATTCCTCAAAGCTTCATTTCCATTTGCCATTACCACAGGCTTTACTAGGTATTCTTGGCCATGATGTATGTTATATTCAAAATTTTTTTCAGTTTCTTTATTTAAAAAATACCGCCACTTTAAACTGTTGCATTCTCATGGATTCTTCTTTCATCTACTCCAGAAAACCTATTCTTTTAGGTACCTTTTAGACCCTCTATTTAAACAACCTACACACTTATTTCCATTCACAATACTATTATCAAAACAGGCGGAGTTCTAGTAAAAGCGTAACATTAAGAAAGGCAAAAAGAAAAAAGCTTCCTTCACGCTTAAAAGAAAATTCAGATACTGTTTTAAGCTGCAGCTGTCGTCTCGACATATCTTGTTGAAATCCATTTCCTTTAACCCAAATGCGCCGGTGCCTCCAATGACAGAGCGCCTTGAGTGCAGGTAAGTGTAGGTCGTGAATTTAGTCAAATAAGTTGACATTGAGCTATCCACAACTCGAAGACCAAATGACATCCGCAAATGTCTTGAGAAATAGACTATGACAGCTACGAATAGCATCGGGAAAGAAAAAAAATATGCAAAAAGAAGTTTTCTTTGGAGTGCCTTATTGTGCGACTGCGAATTCTCCATTTATAGTTTGACTGTCTTCACTTATCAGCCGCATCCTTCTGAACACCATTTTTAAAGCCGCCATCATGCTTTTCAACGTCAACCTCAACGAATTTGTGACCGATAACACTCTAGACCGTGCCGATTTGGAGGCTCTGACGGACCAGCATCAATGAAATTTCAACGAAGTAATTGGAGCCTCTATGCTTTCCAGGATTCCCTTTGAAGCTTTTAACGCCAGCAACAGGAACGTCACGCATTTCTTGTACTGGGGTGAACCTAAAAGACTCACCCACAAATGTCTGAAACAAACCAGCTGTACATTTTGAAAAAATAAAAAAGAATTGTCAAAATTCTTTTTTCTGCTTGAAAAACATAATCGTGCAGAAAAATAATCTAGGAAGTTGAGTGAGGTCTAGGTCGCTCTGCTTTAACGGTTCAGGTTTTGAAGAGCCAAAATTGAGCTCCAGATACTGGTGTTGACCTGCTAGTCACCCATTCTATGCAAATTCTTTTAATTTTTTGTTCCCATTGTCTATTGATATGGCAATTATCTGGTGTATTTCATGTGTGAAGCCAGCAACGTGCTTATAGCATGCTTACAGAGGCTGTAAACATCACATTTCTGTTACGCTATCCAGTTAAATTTTCGATGTCTTTTTTTTTTGGTCATTGACGTCAACAGTTTCGAGAAAAAGATGAATTTACAATACGGTTGTTTGACCGCTGAAAAAACCGATAATTAAAAGGCAACACTACAACCATAAGTTTTGAAAGCATAACCTCTGGAACAGGGTTGAGGTATGCCAGGGTAGTAAATATTAATTGCATTGAAAGGGGACAAAAATATTAACCTCAGTAATTTGGGATTTGAACAGCAAGTTTGCCAAACAAAACCCATTTCTGGTTTTTTTCACGTCCTTAGGTAACTGCATTATGGCCAGCAGTAAAATATACTCAAAACGCAAGGCAAGCCGATAACCCCAATAATGGTAGAGATATCCAGGTACGAAGTTCAAGGGTAATCTAAAGGTCTGTGAAGAAACAATCTTTTCATTGTTTCTTCGATTCTAGATGGCATATCAGACTACCATTTGTGGCAACGACCGGTCATAACTTAGGAATTTCGTTCCTATCACAAGGGAGTAGATTTACTGTATCTTCTGGTCTTCACAATGTAGGTGTTTGAAGATTTTTCCTGAAGAAATGGAAGAAAAAAGATAAAGAAATTTTAAAAATGACAATTTTGTCCACTATTCTCTAACAGTCCCTAGTCCTCGTTGTAAAAAAGAACTAAAAAACACGCGGCAGTCGGGAAAAGTAATGGATGTAGACCTTCAAAAACTCAATCAGTTTCAACAATCCGATGTCATACCACTTTTCAAAATATTTAAAAATAGCTATTTATGAAACCTTTTTTTACTAAATAATATTCTGGATTTTCTTAATTTTGAGTACCGGTTTCTGGATACATGAGTCGGAAAAGAAGAAAGTGAGGGAAAAATGTCAAAGTTTGCAAATTTTTTCTACTTTTATTTTCAACAATCTAAAAAGCTTGTTAGCAAAAAAAGAATTTCCGTAGTGTTCCAAAGAATTCTGGTGGATACCTGTTAATAGGAACTACATTTCCATTAAGTTTTGACTGCATTCTCAAATGCAGTAAATTAGTCTTACTGGGACAGATAAAAAGATTTTACCAGTAATTTATATACCCGGCACTTCGGCAGTCCATTTTTGCACTTAACAATAAATGTACAAAGCTAAAAGTCTTAGATCTTTCACAAGAAGAGGATTAACTGAGGGGTTAGAGCAACATATGTTTGCAGTTACTTATGCTGATGACTCAGTGGCTACGACTTCAGTAAATAATGCTTTCTCCAGTAACACGTTAAACAACCCAAATGCTAGAAAAAGGAATAAAAAAGAGGTTTTTGTTGCCTAAAAAAGTCTCTAACAGACATTCCTTCGGTAGAATCACTGAAGGGGTGGAGGATGCATCATGCACTGTTGGTAACAGTGATTCTGTTTAAAGCCGCATGAAGTAAGAAAACTTAAGCCATCAAGAAGTTGCTGCAAATATGTACAGAATATTATTTATAGGTCACATACATCATCATCTTTCCTTACAAAACAGATTCGTACTCGTTTAGAATAAGATTTGGTAGTTCTTCCAACATAATTCTTGCAGCACAAGCTGTCATATTGGAAGCATGGAAGCAACAGCTGATAAGATTGTAGAGAAGGAAATATGAAGGAAAAATGTGATTTCACCGGCCCGTCCAGATGGTGTTCAAAAGAGTTATTGAGCTGTAATTGTCTACATGTAG